CTGAGTCGCTGGGATTACAGGCACGCACCACCATACCCAGCTAATTTTTTGTATTTTTAGTAGAGACGGGGTTTCACCATGTTGACCAGGATGGTCTCGATTTCTTGACCTTGTGATCCGCCCGCCTCGGCCTCCCACAGTGCTGGGATTACAGGCTTGAGCCACCGTGCCCGGCCCACTTTGTAGCTTATAATGTATACACAGTTGCTTTTCAATGTGCTAGTCTTTAGTGTCTGGCTCCTGAAAGGGGGAAAAGGGAAAAATGAATGGGGGTGGGAAAAGGGTACTAGCCTTTTAAATCCCTTGGAATTCATTTCAGTGGAATGGGGGAGGGGCTTGCAGCCTTTGAGAAGGTGTGACAAAAATGTCCGCCTCCCTCTTCATCTGCACCTCTGTGATCACAAACAGCAATCAGCAGTGAGGAGCAGGGTGCTTTTTGCACACCCTGCTCTGGCAACCTATGTAGAAGCTGCTCCAACAACACAGGCACTGTGGCCTGCCACAAGGCTGGGAACGGCATGGTTAGTTGCTGCTATGCTAAGAGGCAAATGGACAGTAAATTGCAGTGAATATTTGTCAAAGCTCTGACCTTAAGCCTTCAGTAGATTCCAGGGTTCCAAAATACTGATGTCAGACAGTCTGCCCTGCAGTTGTTGTGGAGGTAGGGAGACAGATTTCTGGTTTCCTACTCCACCATCTTACCTGTATCCAGGACTTATTTACATTACTTTATTTTTTTTTTTATTTTTTATTTTTTATGTTTTTTTGAGACGGAGTTTTGCTCTTGTTACCCAGGCTGGAGTGCAATGGCGCGATCTCGGCTGACCGCAACCTCCGCCTTCTGGGTTCAGGCAATTCTCCTGTCTCAGCCTCCTGAGTAGCAGGGATTACAGGCACGCGCCACCATGCCCAGCTAATTTTTTGTATTTTTAGTAGAGATGGGGTTTCACCATGTTGATCAGGATGGTCTCGATCTCTTGACCTCGTGATCCACCCGCCTCGGCCTCCCACAGTGCTGGGATTACAGGCTTGAGCCACTGCGCCCGGCCTTTACATTACTTTAAAACAAATAAATTGTATGTTTCTGGTACATATGTCCTGAGGACAAAAGAATTGCAAAGAGTTCTTAACCTGTTTTTACTAATCATATTAATAGTAATAATTTTGTTACTGTTATTTTGAAACAGTTTTCATATTGAAGAATAGAGCAAAAGGGTAATTGACTTTACCAACAGTTTTCAGAATAAAAGAAGAGATTCAAAGCTGAAAAACTTAAGGGAAAATGCTGTATTCGTAAATTTGAGTTTGAAGTATCAGCATTGACTCATGAAGCATCTCTTCCTAAAAAAATGGAAAGTATGGATTAGCTCTGCCCATCAAAAAGGCCTAGAAACAATGAGCAAGCCAGTTAGGCATCAGTGTCCAGATTCTGTACCTAAATGCCACTTCCCTCTAATGTAAACCAGGATTCCTTGCTTAAAAATAGCTGATTCCAGGTTCTGAATAAAAAATGTACAAGCTGAACATGGAACATCTTGTCTTCCCAGAAAGGAGGGAAGGTGTCAAGGACTAAGCAGGAACTGCTGGAAGGATGTGGGGGCCAATTTGAAGGAGTTCTTGCTTGCCAAAAAATGAACACTTTGAGCATCAATATGACTAGTAACTGCAGTGAATTGGATCACATCAATTATGTTAGAAATGTGAATGCATAATGACACCAAACAACAACAACAACAATTTTTTATTTTTATTTTGAGGCAGAGTCTGGCTCTGTTGCACAGGCTGGGGTACAGTTGTACATTCTCTGCTCATTTTTGTTTAGGACCTAGAATCCACTATTTTGTGCAAGGAGTCCTGGTTTACTTTAGAAACCTCCAGCTCCCAGGCTCAAGCCATCCTCCCACCTCAGCCTCCACAGTAGCTGGATCTACAGGTGCTCACAGCTACACCCAACTAATTTTTGTATTTCTTGTAGAGATAGAATTTAACCATGTTGCCCAGGCTGGTCTTGAACACCTGAGCTCAAGTGATCCTTTTGCCTCTGCCTCCCAAAGTGCTGAGAATACAGGCTTGAGCCACCGTGCTTGGCCAACAAAAATTTTTAAAAATAAAACATTTTTGGGCTCTCCTTGGAGAATGTGAGGGATACAACTCATTTGAAAGGTGGCAAATTAGAGAATGGAATCAAAGCATTCATTGCCTTTACTATACAAACTCTATCTTAAGGTAGCCCAATAATTTACAAAGGAAATTTCTTTTTATGGAAGAATTCCAGCTAACAAATGTAGCAGGAGTATAAAAATTAGATTAATGCTTGTAACCCTTTGTCTACTAAAACCTTTAAGTGGATAGTTAATGGATATCTTTATAGTGGATGGATATAGATGAGTATGGATGACACTTTGGCCCAGTGATTAATCCCAGTATCCAAAAAGAGACGGCCAGGCACTTTGTATTTTATGGGGTCTTGTAATGGAAAATACATAACACCATTTGCCACATAATCACTTTATCTGATCTAGATCTAACTTACATTTTATAGGAAATTCAGGGACAAAGGAATATGTTAAATGACCCCAAAGAGATAAAATCTTGACTGTGGAAAGTTGTACTGACCCTGAGCAGTGACTCACGCCTGTAATCCCAACACTTTGGGAGCCAAGGAGGGAGGATTGCTTGAGACCAGGAGTTCAAGGTTGCAGTGACAAACTACTCACCCAATTTATTCAACAAATAAAATGCCAAGCGGAAGGAAAAAAACAGGCAGTGCAACCGATAGATTAAAAGAGACTTACAAGACATTAAAAAACGTAATGTGTGACTTTGTTGGATTCTGATTTCAACATGGAAACCTTAAAATTCATGAGACAAGTGGGGAAATTTAAAAACTAACTAGATATTTCATGATACTAAAAATTATTGTTATTATTATTATTATTTTTTTTTTTTGAGACGGAGTTTCGCTCTTGTTACCCAGGCTGGAGTGCAATGGCCCGATCTCGGCTCACCACAACCTCCGCCTCCTGGGTTCAGGCAATTCTCCTGCCTCAGCCTCCTGAGTAGCTGGGATTACAGGCACGTGCCACCATGCCCAGCTAATTTTTTGTATTTTTAGTAGAGACGGGGTTTCACCATGTTGACCAGGATGGTCTCGATCTCTTGACCTCGTGATCCACCCGCCTCGGCCTCCCAAAGTGCTGGGATTACAGGCTTGAGCCACCGCGCCCGGCCCTAAAAATTATTAATTAAGGCTGAGTGTGGTGGCTCATGCCTGTAATCTCAGCACTTTGGGAGGCTGCAGGTGGATCATTTGAGGTCAGGAGTTCGAGACTAGCCTGGGCAACATGGTGAAACCCTGCTGTGGCGGCATACTCCTGTAATCCGAGCTGCTAGGGAAGCTGAAGCAGGAAAATTGCTTGAACCTGGGAGGCAGAGGTTCCAGTGAGCCAGGATCCCACCACTACACTCTAGCCTGGTGACAGAGTGAGACTCCGTCTCAAAAAAACAAACATGCCAGTACTATCTCATCTTAATAATTTTTATTTATGTTTTTCTTTGAGATGGATGGAGTCTCACTCTGTCACCAAGGCTGGGGTGCAGTGGTGTGATCTCGCTCACTGCAACCTCTGCCTCCCAGGTTAAAGTGATTCTCCTGCCTCAGCCTTCCAAATAGCTGGAATTACAGGTGCGTGTAACCACACCCAGCTAATTTTTGTATTTTTAGTAGAGATGGGGTTTCACCATATTGACCAGGCTGGTCTTGAATTTCTGACCTAGGTGATCCGCCTGCCTCAACCTCCCAAAATCTTGGGATTATAGGCATGAGCCACCGTGCACAGCCAGTATTGGGATTTGTAAAATAATCTGGTTTTATAGAAGTAGATAGTAGAATATTTACAGATGAGGTTAAATGATGTCTAAGATTTGCTTCAGAATAACCCACAAGTGGGTGAGGGGAACAAACTTGGCCATGTGTTGATGCCAGTTGATGGGGACATGGAATATCATAGTAGTAGTCTTTTTACTTTTGAATGTATTTGTATTTCCTAAGATAAAACTCTATTTAGAGAAGCAAATGAAGCCAGGTGTGGTGGCTTATGCCCGTATTCCCAGCACTTTGGGAGGCAGAGGCATCACTTGAGCTCAGGCGTTCAAGACCAGCCTGAGCAACATGATGAAATCCCATCTCTATAGAAAATACAAAAATTAGCTGGATGTGGTTGCACATACCTGTAGACCCAGCTGCTGTGGAGGCTGAGGTGGGAGGATGGCTTGAGCCCAGGAGGTAGAGGTTCCTAAAGTAAACCATAACTTTGGCGTTGGCTCTCCTGTAGGGAATAGCAGTTCATTGCTAGTATGATAATGAACTTCAGTCTGAATTCTCCTAGGAGAGGAAAAATGCCCCCTTTCTTCCTGTGGCAGCACTTAGCTTTGTAGGAGGTATATAACCTGCACCTGGGAACACCTTTGAATGGCTGCCGCAGTTACAGAGGTGGATATCAGAAGGCTACTGTTCCTGAATCCTGTCATGTGAGGTGGCATCTACTCTTCCAGTGTGTACTTCTAAGTATCCCTGGGAAATCATCTGAATGTTGAAAGGGATTGGAAGAATTTCTTCCAAAAACAAATACTGCACACTTACCCGTGTCCTGTTCTCAGACATTGATATTTTATGGGAAGGATCTATAAGAAGCACGTTGTAGCAGATATAAAACATTCCTTGTGGATCCAGCGATGTTGCCTCCTTCCCCAGCTCCCTGCATTGCCTTGCTGTCAGCGCTGACATTTATATACTACCAACGATTTTGCGATTCTTCTCCCTCCCTGTCAAAACCGGACACTTGAACTATTAGAATACCACAGTAGTAGTACTAGGCCTAAGTTCGCAGAGAGGAAACAAAGTCTTTATTGTCTGTGTATTTGTATAATGCCAATTTATTTTTTGGTCAATAAATATTAAAAACTAACTTAGATAAAACATCTAAAGTTTTTCCTTTCAGGTCCGATGTCTAAAAGACTATGGAGAATTTGAAGTTGATGATGGCACTTCAGTTTTATTAAAAAAAAATAGCCAGGTATTTCTTGTCTTTAGATACTTTACTTTAAATCTTAAGAGTCTTGAATAGTAGAAAGATTGGAATAGCAAAATAAATATCAACTTGTGATTATCATTTATATCTTAGACATTATTCTTAGTATAATACACCCAGTCTGTACTTTTTCTGCATATTAAGACTAGAAGCAAATGATGTATATAAGAAAAGATTAATTTATTAGGATATTGCTTATATTTAAAAGTAGGTGTTTTCTAGGGGAATTACTATAATCAGCCTTATTCTGGGTAAGTGGTAGATTATTATCCAGATGCTGTTAAACTGTAGGATTTAGCTCCTCTCTCATAATTTATTTTAAAAGTTGCTAAGCAGTTGTTTTACACTTAGCCTTATAAATCTTTGTTGTTGTTGTTTTTGAGACGGAGTTTTGCTCTTGTTGTCCAGGCTGGACTGCAGTGATGTGGTCTCAGCTCACTGCAACCTCTGCCTCCTGGGTTCAAGCGATTCTCCTGCCTCAGTCTCCCAAGTAGCTGGACTACAGGTCTGTGCCACCATATTCAGCTCATTTTATATTTTTAGTAGAGACAGGGTTTCTCCATGTTGGTCAGGCTGGTCTCGAACTCCTGACCTCAGGTGATCCGCCTACCTCAGTCTCCCAAAGTATTGGGATTACAGGCGTGAGCCACCACACCTGGTCATAAATCCTTGTTTTTTAGTGAGCAAATAGTGATACAGATCAAGAATTTTCAAGTATTTTGTATATAAACATAATTTAATAGAGGAAGATTAAAATATGTTATAACTTAAGCTAAATTTGTCCTTATAAGGAGTCTCTCTTTCTCTACACACACATGCACGCACACGCACACACACACACACACACACACACACACACACACACTTTTTTTTTAAGAAAATAGAGATGGGGCCTTGCTATGTTGACCAGGCTAGTCTCAAACTCCTGGGGTCAAGCAGTCTGCCCACCTTGGCATCCTAAAGTGCTCGGATTACAGGTGTGAGCTACCATGTTCAGAGTAATCAATATGTTTATTATTTCCTTAGAAATCTTCAAATTCACATTAGATGAATTCACATTAGTGAAATTTATTATTACTATCATTTTTAATTTTAATTTTTTTTTTTTTTGAGGCAGGGGCTTGCTGTGTTCCCCAGGCTGGAGTGAAATGGCGCAGTCTCCTCTCACTGCAACCTCTGCCTCCTGGGCTCAGGTGATCCTCCCACCTCAGCCTCTCAAGTAGCTGGGACCATAGGCGCATGCCACCACACACAGCTAATTTTTGTATTTTTTGTAGAGATGGAGTTTTGCCATGTTGCCCAGGCTGGTCTTGAACTTCTGAGCTCAAGCGATCCATCCACCTCAGCCTCCCAGAGTGCTGGGATTACAGGTATAAGCCACTGTGCCCAGCCACTAAATTTTTTATCCTATCCCACTTTTCTGAAGTCATAGGAGGAAAATGACCTAATAAAGACTGTTCTCTTTCCCTGCCTGCCATCTTGGGGTCAGCCATTTATGATCTGATCGCCCGAAGTGACTGGTGTTCACCCCGTTCCTGCCAGGGAGCACAAGAATGCTTCAAGTCACATGGCTCTCAGGCTTATTCTCCTAACAGGGTATGGCTGGTCCGTTATTTTACTAATGCCCTTAGAGCTTTAAAACTATTTTACTGTTGCTTATAGCCATTACTGGAGATAGTGAAAAAAAACTATTTTACTGGTTAGACATGGTGGCTCATGTCTGTAATCCCAGCACTTTGGGAGGCCGAGGTGAGTGGACTGCCTGATGTCAGGAGTTCAAGACCAGCCTGACCAATATGGTGAAACCCCGTCTCTACTAAAAATACAAAAATTAGCTGGGCGTGGTGGTGGGCACCTGTAGTCCCAGCTACTCAGGAGGCTGAGACAGAATTGCTTGAACCCAGGAGGCAGAAGTTGCAGTGAGCCGAGATCGTGCCATTGCAGTCCAGCCTGGGTGACAGAGCAAGACTCCTTCTCAAAAAAAAAAAAAAAGGATTTTACTAATAGTTTACTAAAATTATTTTACTAATGGAGCTTCTAAAACAAAGGTTTAATTTTTTTTTGAGATGGAGGCTTGCTCTATCGCCAGGCTGGAGTGCAGTGGCACAATCTCAGCTCACTGCAGCCTCTGCCTCCTGGGTTCAAGCGATTCTTCCACCTCAGCCTCCTGAGGAGCTGGGACCACAGGCGCGTGCCACCATGCCCAGCTAATTTTTGTATTTTTAGTAGTCACATGGTTTCCCCATGGCCAGGATGGTCTTGATCTCTTGACCTTGTGATCCACCTGCCTCAACCTCCCAAAGTGCTGGGATTATAGGCATGAGCCACTGCGCCCGGCAGTTTAATATTTTTAAAAAAGATTTTTGGGCTGGTTGTGGTGGCTTATGCCTGTAATCCCAGCATTTTGGAAGGCTGAGGCAGGCGGATCACCTGAGGCCAGGTGTTCAAGACCACACTGATCAACATGGTGAAACCCCATCTCTATTAAAAATACAAAATTATCCTGGCCTGGTGGTGCGTGCCTGTAATCCCAGCTACTCGGGAGGCCGAGGCAGGAGAATCACTTGAACCTGGGGAGCAGAGGTTACCATGAGCCGAGATTGCGCCATTGCACTCCAGCCTGGGCAATAAGAGTGAAACTGTGTCTCAAAAAAAAAAAAAACAAAAATAGTTTGTGGGTTCAGGCAACAATTTCTGTCCCAAGTGTTCTCTTAGGACACTAATGAATTGAAAGCAGATAATTAATTAATGCTCTGATAAGCAGCTACATTTCTGGAGTGCCCAGGAGGAAGCTTTGGTTCACAAGAACAAGAAAAAAGCCATCCTAGGCGAGGTATGGTGGCTCACACCTGTAATTCCAGCTCTTTGGGAGGCCAAGGTAGGTGGATCACAAGGTCAGGAGTTCAAGACCAGCCTGGCCAACATGGTGAAACCCTCATCTCTACTAAAAATACAAAAATTAATGGGACATGGTGGCAGATGCCTGTAATCCCAGCTACACGGTAGGCTGAGGCCAGAGAATTGCTTCAGTCTGGGAGGTGGAGGTTGCAGTGAGCCCAGATTGTGCCACTGCACTCCAGCTTGGGCGACAGAGCAAGACTCCGTCTCAGAAAAAAAAGAGAAAAAGGAAAAAAGCCATCCTATAAAGCAAGATATGTGAAATGTCCCTTCATCACAAATGCTGTCCTGTGGTTGAAATTTTTAACTTTGTCTCTCAGCTGTGACCTTGCCCTCAGTGAAAAACAATATGAGCCTCAGTTGATGGTTGGTATCAGGGCTTCTAATGTTCAACCACATATGAATTAATTTTCTATAGACTCTGTGGTGTAGATCATTCACATGCTCTCAGCATTAGTAGGGAAACATTTTCTTAACATACATTCCTTTCTATTTGACATTATGGCAGGCACTGTTTTAATCCAGAAATCAGTACTCTTCATGCATTAGTATGGATATTAAATGAACAAATCAGTTGTTTTGTTTTTGTTGTTTTTTGTTTTTGTTTTTGTTTTTATATTTTCCTTGGCTCATGTGTCTTCAAGATTGTTTTAGAAGAATTTGGTCTTGGGTCTCTTGTAAGGTCTTTGAGTTTGTGAGGCAGGTCCTTCAGGTGCATGTTGCCACTGATGTTACATTTTGCTTCCTTGAGAGCTTCCTTTGATCACTTATGAATTAGAAAGCCTTCCTGCCTTGCTTCCTGAACCTCCTTCCTCCAAGGCAGTCAGTGTTTTGTGTGAGTCCCTGTGTTTGAGAGGGAAGGAGACATCTTTCCACCTGCCCCTGATTCCCTCAGAGCAAGAGCGATGTCCTCTTAGGAAGACACGGAATAAGCAATACCTGGGTTCTGGCATATTCCCCCACACTGTGTGAATAGCACCCACGCTGTGGGTCATGAATACTTTTCATCCGTGAGAAATACGGGAGGAAAGTGGTCACTTGTTATTAGAAGGATGTTCAGGCCGGGCACGGTAGCTCACGCCTGTAATCCCACCACTGTGGGAGGTGGAGGTGGGAGGATTGCTTGAGCCCAGGAGTTCAAGACTAGCCTGGGCAACACAGCAGGACCCCATCTCTATTTTAAAAAAAGTGTTCAGAGTCTGAAATCTTAGAACAGGTTTTATGGAGAAATGGGGCTTTCATGGGTCTTCCTGATAGGCTGTGGGACCAGTGGTAATCCAGATTGCACCTATCTGGATTTCTCTGTGCATAAATTTAAAAAGTGTAAACACTTAAGAACAATACCTACTAGAATTCAGAAGTCTTTATTATTATTTTTTTGACAAAGTCTTGCTCTTGTCCCCCAGGCTGGAGTGCAATGGCACGATTTCAGCTCATTGCAACTTCCACCTCCTGAGTTCAAGCGATTAATCTGCCTCAGCCTCCCCAGTAGCTGGGATTACAGGCGCCTGCCACCATGCCCAGCTAATTTTTGCATTTTTAGTAGAGACAGGGTTTCACCATGTTGGCCAGGCTGGTCCTGAACTCCTCACCTCGGGTAATCCACCCGCTTTGGCCTCCCAAAGTGCTGGGATTACAGATATGACCCACCATGTCTGGCCACAGAATTCGGAAGTCTTTAGTTGAAATGCACTAAGCAAACTGAATTCATAGAATTCTGTACAGGTCTAAATGGCATCAATTTCAGTGGATTAAAACAGCAAATGTAGTTAAGTTTAACTTTTAACTACTTGTTGGAGTTTGAAAAGTAATCAGTGCTGCTTTTTAATGATACAAGAAATAATTTCAGATTATTTCCCAATCATTTATTTTACTCTTTCTCCATCCCTTTTTGTTCCCTCAGCACTTTTTACCTCGGTGGAAGTGTGAGCAGCTGATCAGACAAGGAGTCTTGGAGCACATCCTGTCGTGACCATGCACCGAGGCACCCCCAGGCTTCACCAACTCATGGACTCCTGTACTTCCTGTCTCTACCCTCCCATCACCTCCCTCTGTGATTTTAAGAGCTATAGACATTGTTTAAGATAACTAAGAATACTTGGCCAAGAAGTATAACTTGCTAACTATTAAGGACTTTTTAAAAAAATGTTGTACACTATTCTTCCTTCTCCTTTTTGGTTTTGTTTTTGTTTTTTGGTTTTTTTTTGTAGAGACAGTGTCTCACTATGTTGTCCAGGCTGTTCTCAAGCAGTCCTCCTTGGGAGGCTGAGGTCAGAGAATTGCTTTAATCCGAGAGGCGAAGGTTGCAGTGAGCCCAGATTGAGCCCAGAATCCTGGCCTTAAGCAATCTTCCCACCTTGACCTCTCAAAGTGTTGAGATCACCGGTGTGAGCTGCTGCACCTGGCCCCTACTCCTTTTTCTAATAAGCTTTATCTCTAATCACAGCGTTCCTACAGTGTGTTTTTTAAATGAAAGTAAACAGGATTACATTTGAATCTTTTTTAAAAAATGAGAGTCACTTGGCTGCACAGGAAGAAGGTAGACCCCGTCTGTCTTGTTTACTGGTCATGTGTATTGTACAAGCTAGAGAGTCGAATTTCTGAGATACACATTTTCAAATCACATGAGCAAGTGAAGATGGTATGTGGAAATTTTCAGTATATGTGATGTTTGATGACATACTAATTTATCATCTGGCTATTTGGGAAGGATGGACACATGGATTTTGCACATTTCCAACATGATGGCTGGTCTGGCTTGTGGCCAGTATCACCGCTTTGGAAAGGGACAATGAAATTGGGGCTAGGAAGGAACTTTGTACAGTTTTCCCTGAAACTCACATTGACTAAAAAGTCACATAAAGAGTTGATTGGTTTTTAACCGTATCTTTTAAATAGCTGACACTTTAAATTTTAATGAAATTCCGTTTGTTTGTTCTTTTATGCTTTGGATGTTGCATCGAAGAAATCTTTTACCATCCTAAGGTCACAATTTTTTTTCTTTTTCTTCTAGAAGTGTTATAATTTTAAGCTTTATAGTTTTGGTCTGTGACCTGTTTTTGTTTTTGTTTGTTTGAGATGGAGTCTCGCTCTGTCACCCAGGCTGGAGTTCAGTGGCATGATCTCGGCTCACTGCAACCTCCACCCTCCAGTTCAAGTGATTCTCCTGTCTCAGCCTCCCCAGTAGCTAGGTTTACAGTTGCATGCTGCCACACCCAGCTAATTTTTGTATTTTTAGTAGAGACAGGGTTTCACCCTGTTGGCCAGGCTGGTTTCAAACTCCTGACCTCAAGTTACCCACTTTGGCCTCCCAAAGTGTTAGGATTATAGGCATGAGCCACCACGCCTAGCCTGGGATCCATTTTGAATGAATTTTTGTATATGGTGCAAGGTGTTGATCCTCCTTCACTTTTTCTTGGGCATATAGATATCCAGCTGTTTCACCACCATTTGTTGAAAGGACTGCCCTTTGCTCTTCCACCTTTGCATTTTTGTCAAGAAGTAGTTTTCAGTGTATGTGTGGGCTTATTTCAGTACTCTGTTTTGTTCCATTGAACTGTTTTTCTTTCCTGAATGCCAATACTATATTTGTATATAGTGTAATTTTTCTAATAATTCTTGAAATAGTATTAATGCATTATATCTTTGTTGTTGTTATTTGTATTTTTTGTAGACACGGGGTTTTACCTTGTTGGCCAGGCTGTGCTCAACTTCTGAGCTCAAGTAATCCACTTGCCTCGTCTTCCCAATGTGCTGGAATTACAGGCGTGAGTCTTGGTGCTGGCCCAATGCACCACATTTCTTTTTGAGATTTGTTTTCGCTATGCTAAGTCCTTTGCTTTTAATATGAAATTGGGAACAGGCAGGGCATGGTGGCTTACGCCTGTAATCCTAGCACTTTGGGAGGCCTAGGTGGGCGGATTGCTTGAGCTCAGGAGTTCCAAACCAGCCTAGGTCACATGGCAAAAGTCCGTCTCTATGAAAAATGCAAAAATTAGCTGGGTGTGGTGGTTCATGTACCCCCAGTTACATGGCAGGCTGAAGTGGATCCCTTGAGCCCAGGAGATCAAGGCTGGAGTGAGCTGAGATCACACTATTGTACTCCAGCTTGGGTGACACAGTGAGACATTGTCTAAAAAAAAAAAAAAAAATTAGGATCAACTTGTCAATTTCTACAACAACAGCAACAACAAAAAACTCTGCTAGCACTTTGATTCAGATTGCGTTGAATTTACATAAAGAGGTTGGGAGAGTTGACATCTTTACTAATATTGAGTCTTCTGGCCTATAAACAAGGTCTGTCTTCCGACATATTAATGTTTCTGTCTTCCATTTCTCTTAGTAACCTTTTATAGTTTTCATTGTACAGGTCTATCGTGTCAGTATTTCATAGTTTTGATGCTAAGTAGTTTAAAATTTCAAATTCTAACTGCTTGTTGCTAGTAAACAAATAAAATTGATGTTGAACTTGTGTCCTTCAGCCTTGTTAAACTGAGTTCTTAGAGGTGTTTTATAAATTACATCAACAGTCACGTGTTCTATAATAAAGACTTTTACTCCTTCCTTTCTAATCTGAATGCCTATTTCTTTTTCTTACCTGATTGCATTGGTTAGAACTTCCAGTAGAATACTGAATGTATGTGGTCAGAGCAGACATCCCTATCTTGTTCCTGATCTAAGATGGAAAACAGTCAGTCTTCCACCATTATGATGTTAGCTCTTAAGTTTTTTGTAGCTGCCACTTATTGGGGTGAGGAAGTTCCCTTCTGTTCCTAGTGATAATGGTTTGGCTGTGTCCCTACCCAAATCTCACCTTGAACTGTAATAATCCCCTCATGTCAAGGGCAGGGCCAGGTGAGATAATTGAATCATGGGGGTGGTTTCCCCCACACTTTTCTTATGTCAAGAAGTCACAAGATTTGATGGTTTTATAAATGGGAGTTCCCCTGGACATGCTCTCCTGCCTGCTACCATGTAAGACGTGACTTTGCTCCCTATCCATTTGCCTTCTGCAGTGACTCTGAGGCCTCCCCAGCCATGTGGAACTGAGTCAATTAAACCTCTTTCCTTTATAAATTACCCAGTTTCTGGTACGTCTTTATTAGCAACATGAGAACAGAATAATACACTAGTTTACTAAGAATTTTTTTAAAAATCAGAAATGGATGCTGGAGCTTGTCATATCCTTTTTCTCCATCTGTGGAGATGGTTTCATCTTTTAGTTTGATATTTTGGTGAATTACGGTGGCTGATTGATTGATCAATTGAGTTTTGAATGTTAAACCTACCCTACATTCATGGCATAAACTACACCTGGTCATGATGTATTATCCTTTTTGTAGAATTTTATTTGAAAACTTTCGGTTTTTTTTTTTTTTTTTTTTTTTCAGAGTCTCACTCTGTCCCCCAGGCTGGAGTGCAGTGGCGTGATCTGGAAGCTCCCATACCCTGTCCTTTTGGGCCTTTAATGGAAATCTCATTGGTTGGGCATGATCGACAACCAAGAAGAGGTATGATTGAACAAAAAGGGTATGATCTAATGCTCATAGTCTGAGTGGCGCCGTCCAACACCCATCTGCTCCGGTGCTTGGCCTCTGCTGCATTCCTTCTTTCAGAGTATGGGGCAGTGCCCCTTCTGATCATAGAGAATTTCTTTACGGCCAGCTCCAAGACAGAAAGGTGGGAAGATTCTTGCCTTGAGGAGAAAAAGGAGCCCGTGAAAGGAGGGCATAAGGGCAGAAAGAGAGACTGTCTTCTGAGACAGAACTGCCCCAGCATTACAAGAGACTGTAACAGCCGGGCGCGGTGGCTCAAGCCTGTAATCCCAGCACTTTGGGAGGCCGAGGCGGGTGGATCACAAGGTCAAGAGATCGAGACCATCCTGGTCAACATGGTGAAACCCCGTCTCTACTAAAACTACAAAAAAATTAGCTGGGCATGGTGGCACGTGTCTGTAGTCCTAGCTACTCAGGAGGCTGAGGCAGGAGAATTGCCTGAACCCAGGAGGCGGAGGTTGCGGTGAGCCGAGATCGTGCCATTGCACTCCAGCCTGGGTAACAAGAGCGAAACTCCGTCTCAAAAAAAAACAAAAAACAAAACAAAAAAAAACAAGAGACTGTAACAAAGGCCATGGGAGTTATGAACTAGAAGCCATGAATGAAACCAACGTATCTATCATAAGTTCTATATGCTTGGCATTATTATTTCTTAAATGTTTGTAGAATGTGTATGTAAGCCATCTGGGCCTAAAGTTTCTTTGTGGTAAGGTTAACAACAGTTCTGGCTTTTTAAATAAATACATGGCTATTCTGGTTGTCCATTTGTTTTTCTTGAATGAACTTTGGCAATTTATGTATTCTCCATTTTATCTAAGTTACCAAATTTATTTATATAAAGTTGTTCATGGGCTAGGCATGGTGGCTCACGCCTGTAATCCCAGCACTTTGGGAGGCCAACGCAGGAGAATCGCTTGAACTCAGGAGTTTGAGACCAGCCTGGGCAACATAGCGAGACGTTAGAAAAAAAATTGCCAGGGGTGGCGCTGTGCACCTGTAATCTCAGCTACTCGGGAGGCTGAAGTGGGAGGCCGCAGGGAGTTATGCCACTGCATTCCCGCCTGGGCAGCAGTGTCTAAAAAAAATAAAAATGTTATTCATAATATTGCCTTATTATGCTTGTGTATCTAGACTATAGTGATATCACCTCTCATTTCTGTTAGTAAGTTTTCTTTTTTCTTTTATTCTGATTGAACTAGAAGTTTAATCTTCTGAAAGAACCTGCCTTTGGTTTACTGACGGAAGTTTCCATTTCAGGAGTCAACAAATGTTTTCTGTGTATTAGGCTTTGTGGGCCACATGACCCGTACAGCTGCTCCACGCTGCTGCTGCAGCACAAAGCAGGTATAGGGAATCTCTAACTCAGCGTGGCCGTGCCAACCAAACTTAACCTGCAGCATGCCACAGCCAATCTATTCTGTTCCTTGGTTTCTGCTATGATCATCATCATTTCCTTTGCTTTTGACTTTGGGTTGAATTTGCTTTTGTCTACTTATTTAAGGTAGAAGCTGAAGTCATTGATTCAAGACCTTTCTTCTATTTTAATCTGGGTGTTTGGTTCTGTGAAATTTCCCCTAAGTAATGCTTTTGCTCTGCCTCACAAATTTTGATATATTGTGTTTTCACTTCCATTCAATCCAGAATATTTTCTAATTTCCCACTGCTCATTTCTTCTTTGCCTCATGGGTTACTCAGTAGTATGTTGTTCAGTTTCCAAATATTGGGGGATTGATTTCTAGTTTATTTCCACTGTGGTCACAGTATAAACATCATATGACTTGAATCTTTGTAATTTTTTGAGATTTGCTGGCCCAGATTATGCTATGTCTTGGTAAGTATTTGGCTGCCTATGCTTCTGCTGGTGTCGTGTGGTAGGCTCTAGATGTCAGTATGTTGATAATGTTGTTCAGGTCTCTTGGTTACTCCAGTCTCAGACAGAAGCCCAAAGTGAATGAAGAAGTGTACTTCTCAATGAGTTTTGATAAATGCATGTACGTGTGTTAACATAAAGTGTATTGGGACATATTTTAATAACTGGTAGAACTAGTCCCCATGCATTGCTCTTTGTCAGAGTTTTCCTGTTTCATTTGCTTATTTCGTTGTATGTAAACACTTTAGAATGTCTTGTCCAATTCTGGGGTTGACTGGGGCATGGAACATCTGTATATTTGTTGGGACTAATTACATTTATCAGTGAACTTTGAAGAACCGTCAACTTCATGTTGCCAAATCTTCCTAAGAACCCTTTCCATCTGTTCCAGCTTTGTTATCTTTCCATGGTGCTGTGACATTTTTCTCCTGCAGAGGGGAGAAGGCGTGCCAGCTCTGGGATGGTGGCTGTCCCAGGAAGAGGGAGGAGGCTAACAGAACATGCTCCCCCACTCCATGGTGCTGTGGCAGGATGTTATTCTTACATCTGTTGATGGGCATGTGGTGTTTCTAATATACTATTTTCCTATATGTTTGGGATATATTATAGTTTAAAAAATTAAAAAAAAAAACTTAGAAGTCAATTTTATTCCAGCACTTTGGGAGGCCAAGGCGAGTGGATCACCTGAGGTTGGGAGTTGAAAACCAGCCTGACGAACATGGAGAAACCCTGTCTCTACTAAAAATACAAAATTAGCTGGGCGTGGTGGCGCATGCCTGTAATCCCAGCTACTTGGGACGCTGAGGCAGGAGAATTGCTTGAACCCTGGAGGCAGAGGTTTCAGTGAGCTGAGATTACGCAGGTGCACCACAGCCTGGGCGACAGAGCAAGACCCGCCAAAAAAAAGTCAATTTTAATAGAAAAGAATTTATTGCAAATACAGTGACTTTTTATATTACAGTAGTACATTCCAGTCAGCCATATGGCCATAATTTATATATATTTCAAATATAAAACTATACTTTTTTTTTTACATATAGTGCAATTTCCAGTGTGATGACATTTCAATGGGAAAAAGATTGTGCATTTGCAATAAACACCATCATCCCTGAGTCCACAGACCTAAGACAAGGGTCCCTGGAGAAGGGGCTTCCCCTCCTTTCTTGCGGGGTTGACATTCCCAGCAAGTGAAGCCTTTCTGGAATGTGTGTATGCACCCCCCACCAAGAGTTCTAATAACCTCAGCTCAGAGCAAAACAGTAAAATGGCAAAACTGTGCAGAGCCCTGATTTTACATTTCAATCCGACAGCCAGGGTCAGAAGGTCATTGCCTGCACATGGAAAGTGCTGTCCTCAACTGCTTACTTTGCTGCTCCTTGCTGACAGCTCCGAGAATCCGGCTCCAGTGAGTGGCAAATCTGGGAATTTTGCCAAGGGAAATTACTCAGGACTGCTAATAAAAATGCAGGCTTTTGCAACGTGCATATTCCCCCACCTCTGTCTTGCCCAGGGCAGACCATTCATTAAATGTCTGGTGGGTGCACAAATAATCCCAATCCTCAGATGTACCAGGACTCATGACTCATGAGCCATGGAAAACTAGGGCATCATGGCGGCTTACTTTAAAAGATGTGCTTACTAATGAATCCGAGGAAATAATCCATCTTTACACAGAGAGGGCTGCAGGGGCAATCCTACTGACGAGTTTGTTGAGAGCGCGAACTTTTTCTTCCAAGATGCGGCTTTGCTTCTCGGCACCTCGCTGCTTCTCCTCGGTGGCCTGAAGTGCTCTCACCAGGTGGGCATTCTCCACGTACAGCTCCTTCAGCAGCAGGTCGGACTTTGTGTTCTTTTCAAACTAGGGAGAAGAGGAAGCCATGCTTTGTGTGAGCTCAGTGGAGAAACACTACAAATCAGCCTGCTCTCTTATCCTTTCACATTTATTCAAACCATAGTTTTGGGCTCTTAGAAATCTGACACAAATTCTGGATTATTATTATTATTTTTTGAGATGGAATCTTGCTCTGTTGCCCAGGCTGGAGTGCAGTGGCGTGATCTCAGCTCATTGCAACCTCCACCTCCAAGGTTCAAGTGATTCTCCTGCCTCAGCCTCCCGAGTAGCTGGGATTACAGGTGCCTGCCACCGCACCCAGTTAATTTTTGTATTTTTAGTAGAGATGGGGTTTCACCATCTTGGCCAGGCTGGTCTTGAACTCCTGACCTCGTGCTCTACCCGTCTCGGCCTCCCAAAGTGCTAGGATAAATACTGCATTATAATGACGTTTTGTTAACCTGGCATAGAGGAAATTGAGAATCTGCTGGGCTATGGGGTGGAGAAAACTTGAGGCAGGTTTGTGCCATGAAATAAGGACTTCAGGCCAAAGTGGACAGTCCTCAAAAGGCCCTGGGACGGTCACAAGTGTGAAACCGGTTTGTCCGTGTGCACTCTACTGGCTGTGATGTCAGCAGGGCCGTGAGCTGGTCACCACACACGCGGCAGCCAGGCCGCATGGGCTCAGTGATAGGAACATGAGGCCGCTCTAGTCACCCACCCCTGTTGTGGCCTCATTTGGGTTATGAGGGCACAGTGACCCCTGGAGTCGAGCTTCCTTAAATCCACACTGCATCCACTCACGGGACAAGCAGTTACTGAGTGTGCCCGGTACACCCCTGCTCCCAGGAGCACAGACTAATAGCAGGAGGGAGATGGAGAACAAATACGGACAGGCTCGAAGAAAACCTCAGGGGCAGTGCTGGTGGGGGCAGTGCTGGTGGGGGCAGTGCTGGTGGGGGCCGTGCTGGTGGGGGCCGTGCTGGTGGGGGCAGTGCTGGTGGGGGCAGTGCTGGTGGGGGCAGTGCTGGTGAGGGCAGCGTTGTCCCATTTTGGTTGGGGTGAAAAAGAGCCGCTCGGTGAGGACATCTCAACACAGAGCCACAGAAAGCAAGGGAGTGAGCGCTCAGGCTTCTGGGCGTGAACATTCCAGGCAGAGAAAAGAGCAAGTGCAAGGGTCCTGTGGTGAGCACCTGCTCAGGGCAACTGTGGAGCTGCTGGGAGGCTGCTGCAGCTGCAGGGCATGGTCGAGGGGGAGGCAGAGGCATCAGAGCTTTGAGGCAGGGGGCTGGATCGTTGAAGCCACTGTGAACACCATGCATTTACTCTGAGAGACACGGGAAGACTGGATGGTTCAGAGCGGAGGAGGGACAGGGTTCAGTGTGTGCAGAGAGAAGATTGAGGGAGGAGACGAGGAAGGCAGTTAGCATGCTGGAGAAGGGTTAGTGAGAAGTAGTTAGGGTCTGTGTCCACTCTGAAGGTGTGGCTATGGATTAGATGTGGACATGGGGTCATGGAGTGAGCCCTGATCCTAAGCTTTTGGACTGGAGCCACTGGCAGCGAGAGCAGGTGAGATGGTGCAGGCAGCCCCTTCAAGGGCATTTCTGTGAAGAGAAGTGAAAAACTGACAGGGCCAGAGAAGGGCTGGGAGCTCCTGAGGTTTGTGCACTGGTGGTAACGAGGCTCCAGGACAGCAGGGCAGCTACAGAGGTGGGTGCAGGACACAGGGAAGCCATTAGTGTGGAGGGCCCTGCAGGTTCTCTTTGGGTGCTTCTGATCTTCCAGTGAAACAAGCAGCAAACACAGCTGAGAGATGAGGGAGCTAGAGGGTCAGAGGAGGGAAGGGATGGATCTCCTGCAGGGGAGGGAAAGATGGGTACTCCACAGTGGGGAGGAGGTGAGTCCACTGCAGAGAACAGTGCCAGCAAGCTGGGGAGGGGACAGGTGCAGGACAGGCAGCACTGAGGCCCTGGGCTGTGGCCTGGGCTCAGGGCCAGGGCAGGTGTGCAGGAGCCGCAGGATTTAACCAGAAGTCAGGTGTTGCCGGCGAGACAGGCAACTGAGTACTGTGGGTGTGTGCGAGGGAGAAAGGGTGAGAGGGACTGGAGGCGCCAGCAAGGGACAGAGCTGGGCAGGGACGGGTGGCCCCAAAGAGGGACTGGGTACCTTCCACAAATGCCTCGTCTAGTTTGGGCTGAGCTCGGATCCATCGTGTAGACCAATCCATACTGGATCACAATGGAGCAAAAATACTTCTCCAGGTTTTCACATTTTTCCTAATGTCTCCTAACACTGAATGTGGCCCACGGCCAGGCTTCTTCTGTGTGTGCACTCCAGACCTGCGGGGCCCATCCACACCCTACACCATCAGCCCTTGGGGTGCAGCACTGCTGCACGTTGTTCCCACCTGCTGAGTTAGACTGTGAACATCTACAGACCAGATGAGCTGTGGCACCTCATTTTTGGTCTTTGCTCTTTATAGTAGCCCAAGTGACTTTTTCCCCATTGTGGTTTCTTTTAAAAGATAGATCCTAGCCGAGCATGGTGGCTCACGCATGTAATCCCGGCACTTTGGGAAGCTGAGGTGGGCGGATCACAAGGTCAGGGGTTCAAGGCCAGCCTAGTCAACATGGTGAAACCCAGTCTCTACTAAAAATACAAAAATTAGCCAGGCATGGGGGCGCATGCTTGTAATCCCCGCTACTCAGGAGGCTGAGGCAGGATAATTGCTTGAACCGGGGAGGTGGAGGTTGCAGTGAGCCAAGATCGCGCCACTGCACTCTAGCCTGCACGACAGAGTGAGACTCTGTCTCAAAAAAAAAAAAAAAAAAAAAATCCTGTCATGCTTTTACTTAAAATCTCCCAATGCCTTCTAACTGCCATTATGATAAAACCCAACCCCCTGATTTTGGCTTCCAGGGCCCCACCAGTTCACACCAGCCATGGCGGCCTCCTCCATGGCTGTCCCCTGCCTGGAATCCGCCCTTCTCAGGGTCCCCCAGCACACAAGGAGATGTGTGCATCTCCCACCCAGTAAGCCTTCCAAATGCCATCTGGCCTCTGCTAAGGACACAGCTGGGCCTTCCTGTGCTGGTCAGTGGGTACCTGCCCCAAACTGGCTCTTCAAGGTGGCCTTGACCACTCCCCCAGACCCCTCCATCTCTATTCTCCCTCTCTCTCTTTATTTTTTGAGACGGAATTTCGCTCTCTTGCCCAGCCTGGAGTACAGTGGTGTGATCTCGGCTCACTGCAATCTCCGCCTTCCAGTTTCAAGTGATTCTCCTTCCTCAGCCTCCCAAGGAGCTGCGATTACAGGTGCCCGCCACCACGCCCAGTTACTTCTTGTATTTTTAGTAAGACGGGGTTTCACCATGTTGGCCAGGCTGGTCTCGAACTCCTGACCTCATGTTCCACCGCGCCCCATTCTCTCTTTTTCAGAGCACTACCGTGGCGCAAGGTCATTTATGCTCTATGGGAGCATCCGCCTCTGTCTCCAGAGGATCAGGTCCGGGATGTAGGTTCAGCCCTGCTCATCTCAGGTCTGCCTAGGAAGGCTTTACCAGAGGCGCTCAAGGACGCCTGCGGATGAAGGATGAGGTCCTTTCTCAGTATATGTGAACACCCAAAGGCCAGATCTTAAAACCATTCCCAAAAGAAAATAAATGCAACGTGCACCTGCAGTATAGGGTATTGCATTTAGTTCCCTGGAATTCTGTGACAAGACGGCCTCCCTATATTAGCTGCCTGCACACCCATAGAAGTGGAGAACGTTCGGAAGAGGACGCGGACACGGAAGCAGCAGTGCCCATCACTCACCTGCTCCTTCAGCTCAGGCCGCGGACACGGAAGCAGCAGTGCCCATCACTCACCTGCTCCTTCAGCTCAGGGCGCGGACACGGAAGCAGCAGTGCCCATCACTCACCTGCTCCTTCAGCTCAGGGCGCGGACACGGAAGCAGCAGTGCCCATCACTCACCTGCTCCTTCAGCTCAGGGCGCGGACACGGAAGCAGCAGTGCCCATCACTCACCTGCTCCTTCAGCTCATCCGCTTTCTCTTGGAGCAGCATTTCCATATTCTTCAGAATCATCTCCGCCTCTTCTGCTCGCTCTTCTGTGGCTTTCAGCTGTTTCTCATGTTCTTCCTGCCATAAAAGAAGGTTACAGGCAGCCAGGCAGGGTGGCTCACACCTGTAATTCTGGCACTTTGGGAGGCCAAGGTGGGCGGATCACAAGGTCAGGAGATCGAGATAATCCTGGCCAACATGATGAAACCCCATGTCTACTACAAACACAAAAATTAGCCGGGCATGGTGGCAGGCGCCTGTAGTACCAGCTACTCGGGAGGCTGAGGCAGGAGAAGCACTTGAACCCAGAGGCGAAGGTTGAAGTAAACCGAGATTGTGCCGCTGCACTCCAGCCTGGCAACAGAGTGAGACTCCGTCTCAAAAAAACAAAGAGGCCAGCGCAGTGGCTCACATCTGTAATCCTAGCACTCTGGGAGGCTGAGGCAGGCAGACTGCCTGAGCTCAGGAGTCTGAGACCAGCTGAGGCAACACAGTGAAACACCATCTCTACTAAAATACAAAAAATTAGCCAGGTGTGGTGGTAGGTACCTGTAATCCCAGCTATTCAGGAGGCTGAGGCAGGAGAATCGTGTGAACCCAGGAGGTGGAGGTTGCAGTGAGCCCAGACTGCACCACTGCACTCCAGCCTGGGTGAGAGTGAGACTCTGTCTCAAAAATAAATAAATAAAATGGAAATCAGCGCAAATGTGCACATCTGACAGTGCCTGTGGTAACTCTGCATCCGTACAGAGCAATAGTTGTCAAATGTTCTGGCCAAACCACGCAGCTTTCCTTTCTCTTTGTAGTTCAGCTAGAATCAGCAGACCCATTTGTCCTCAGAGAACTGGTCCTAGGATTTTAACCACAAATAACTTCAAAGTGAGCTTCCCTCGCCATGTCAGTGTCTTTTCCTGGGGGATTCTCATTAACTTTGTTTTGTCAATAATGTAGTGTCACTTAGCTTTAGCTTGACCGCTTTGTGTAATGTTGCAAGGTTGTTCTTCATTAGAATTTACACTTTACAAACATCAGATGTTACCCACTTCTCAGGTCGTGTGCCAATTCCTTCTTCTGCCCTCTGGCTCCTGATCCCCCCTGAAGTCGTCCCTGATGAATCAGGAACTATGTTGGGAATTTCAGGAGTCAGTCACACTCTCAGCCTTTTGAATTAAACTCTTGCATAGGGCACGGCTATGCCAGGACCCTTCAAGTGCTTTAAAATTACAACTCACTGACGCCTCCCAATAGGCCTTTTAGGGACCACCACAGCTAGCAGGACTTTACAGATGAGAAGACTGAGGCACAGAGAGGTTCACTTGCCCAAGGTCACTCAGCTGGGAGGAGGTAGGCAGGATCCTAGCCTCCACAGTCCATGCTCCAAGCCACTGTCTCCCGTCTCCCGCCACCTGCATGGCCTGTGGCACCTGCCAGGCCCAGTCTGTCACCCTCTGCTCTCTGCCCTCGGCCTCTGGTCCCTGATCCCCTGGAACACGCCAAGTATCCCCTGTCCCGGGGCCTCTGCACCTGCCGCTTCCCTGCTGCACTCTGCCCAGTGACCTGGCACCACTCCCTCACCTCCTTTAGGTCTCATGACCTCAGGGGCCACCCTGTTTAGAACCGCGCTGACCCTCTTTTTACAGCCTTCCTCATCACCTGACATGCTATGTACGTGACTCAGGTATTGACACTTGGGCAGCTTCTGGGTAACTTGAGGACCAGTGGGCCCGCCTCACCCTCCTCCTCGTCAGCCAGCTCTCGCCAGATCCCCACTCACCCGCTGCGCATCCAGGCGTCTCCCGGCCCGCTCTCCCTGGAGATGGAGCAGGCGCTGCAGCTCAGCCACGTGGTCCCGGGGCACCAGCTGACCCATCTGCTCCTGCAGCTGCCGGACCTCCTGCCAGTGCTGGGCCTGGGCCTGCCTCAGCCTCAGGTGAGCTCCCTGCACCTGCACGGGAGGAGACACAGCTCTAGTGAGGCTGCTGAGACGTGGCACAGTGGTAGGGTGCCCTCTCCATCCAAGGACACCCCTACCCGCAAGGGGAAGGAAGGCATGTGCTCCTGAGTATGTGGCAGCACCTGGGAATTTAGAAGGAGCCCATTTCTTTGGAGTTTGGACAGCCAGGCTGCTGTCAGCCAGCACTTCCACACGGTGCTAGAGTGCAGAAAACATGTCCACCATCCTGAAAACAGCAACACTGACTTCCTGTAAGACCCACAGACCCACTGCTGCATCCAGTGTTAGCTTTCAGCAAACCTTGCTGGGGACTGATTCTTTTCAAACAGTGACCCACGCCAGTTCTCCTTTCAGCGGAGAGCTCACACTCTGAAACACGGCTATACCAGCCACAGACTCTACCCAGACAACAGGGACCACTAAAGGGAAGGTGGGGCCAGGGCTGGCATTCCTGGCAGCACCTGGTTTCCCAGACAGCTGGAGTTGGGCGAAGTCATTACAGTGATCTGTGCACCACTACGCCAGCCCCTTCATTAAGCAGCTCGAGGCAAGATCCAAATACAATTTACATCCAGCTGACTGAAGGCTTCACTGGGATTTCCTCAGCACCTTATAAAACTGGCCACGCCACCTTACTCGCCTGAGATCCCACGGACAGGAGTGGGAGTCACGTTCCATCCGGGGTCACATTTGGGCCGGGCCTGACATCACCACATGGTGGAGAGAGGGGGAAGGCCCTGCCCTGTGCCCACATTGCCCCCCCCAGCTTCCCTTCAGCAGTCCCTGCACTGACTCAGCTGAGCTGGGGGCCATCTCAGGGGGCCAGGTAAAGCCCACCTTTCTTTAAGGCAGGGGTCACCCCAGAAAGATGCATCCCACATTTTCCAGGCCCTGGAGGGCAGCTCATGGGTTGCAATAGAAAGGAACACCTCCACCAAGTGCTGCCTTCTCCCAAAGGCTCATTCAGACACTCTGGCTGCCACCCCCAGTCCTGCTGGACTCCCAGGCATTAAGCACATCTACTCACCCCAGAAGGCTCTAGCCCTGTGCCCCAACTCGCTGGGCTCTGATGCTCATGGGTCCTCAGACTGCACCACCCCCCACAGAGCCAACTAAGCCCCTCCATAGCAAGGCCAGGGTCCAGCCCAAGCGGGGGGTCTCTGCCTATGGTCATCTACGAACAAATAGATGTCCAGTGCTCTTCATCTCCTTCCTCGGCAACGCGAGATGGGCCACATCTATAGACCTTGCCTGACAGTCACAGGGACAGGGAAAGACGTCCCCAGGGGAGCACCAGAAACAAGGACATTTGTGTTCTGGGTGCTGGGGTGAGGCAGAGCCTTAGATGGAGCATCATCTCCCACCCTGAGTGCAGCCACCCTTCCCACCTTCCCATGGAGGAGGCCCTGTGAGTCCCCATCCCTCCACTCTCTGAGCTCTCCTGTGAGGTGCCATCCCTCCTGTCTGCTCTGGCCTCTGGGGCCTTCCTCCTTTGAGCCACACACAGGCATGACAGTGACTGCCTTGGGTTCCCTCCTACAGGGAAACGGTGACCACATCAGCTTCAGGCCTAGCCTCTTGGGGACACTCTCAGGGAGCCCCATCTGCCTTTTCCAGAGTTTCCTGAGCTACGCTGGAAGCCTCCACCTTCCTGATACTGGCAGCCATGTGCTTTGGTGGGGGGTGTCTTCCTCTAAATCAAGAGGAAAAGGGGTACAATCCATAAGGCTGCAGGACAGACTCAGTGAGGTGCTTTCCGACTGACAGAGGCTGGTGGCAGGCATGGCCCCAGGGGTGTGAAACTCCCTTGCCTTTTCAGGTGAGTCTTACTCCTCAGCCTCACAGGACTCGAACGTTGAATGGCCCAGGCAATTTTCCAGGGTTCCATTCAGACTCAAAAGCAGAGAAGCGTGTCCCAAATACACAGCAGTGCCTCTAGGAAACTGACTGCCTGTAGCTGCAAGGCCAAGAGCCTACAGGAGCCCCCAAAGCGCCTCAGAAAGCCCTGGGGTCCGTGCCCAGCTGACCCCTCTGTGCCTCAGGATGTCTAGGGGGTGCTTCTGCACAGGGCGCCAGGGCCAGCACTGGGGGACTCAGCCAAGCCTCACAGGCAAGCGGGGAGAGACCCTTTCCCATAGCCCCCTTTCCTCTCCATAGCCCCCAAGCTTCCAAGTGTGCCCCGCACCTGTGTCCACACGGGGCACTTGCTCTCCAGGTACCTTTGGCCATCACACAACTGCTCTTCCCCTCCCCCTTGAGCCATCCCCTCCACAATCATCCCCTGAAAGAGCCAGCTCCCCTCCCTGAGGCCCCTGCTCAGCTCCCCCTGAGCATGCCTGTCTGTCCCAGACCACGAGCCCCTGCCACCACAGCCCAAGCTCCTGTGCCTGCACCTTCCCCGCCTCTCACCCATGGTGCTAGCAGGTGTGGCACCTGGAGGCTGGGGAAGAGGCCAGTGTCACGCATGCCCGTGAGTTTACATGTCACCCCGTCCCCAGGGTTGGGGCCGGCTGCCTTGGCTCTGATGACACAGTTCCTGGGCTTGCCTCTGGCTTCTCCATTCTGCGGAAGGCTCACCCAAAGGCATGGTGACCACATTCCTTCCCTTGAGAGTAAACTGAGTCACCACTCTCCATGGGGCTTGCTCAGTCAAACCAGCCCTGCACTGGGAGCAGCTTTGGTCCTGGGCCCGGTAAGCACCTGGCCAGCTTAACCACCTGACTGGGCTGGAGGAAGCCTGGCGTCGGCACTGCAGTGAGGCTGCTCCCGGGTAGGAGTGGACCCAGTGCCTCCAGCCATCACTCGCACCCACCTGGCCTTGACTTTCCTCAAGGGTCTGCGTCAGCTCGGCCTGTGACAGTCGCATGCTCTGACATTCCTGATTCAGGCGTTCAAGTTCAACTTCAAGTTTTTGGATTTGGTCACTCTATTTTAAAAAAAATCAATTGCAAAAGTCAAGAAGCATCTTAGCAGTCTGGTACATAATTTGTGCAGAAACTTCAGAAATTACGGAAAAGAAAAAAACGACAAAACTTAAATCCCCATGAACCCACCAGCCAAGGCCAGGCCCACATCCTGCAGTGGCTCCCGGGCCCCTCCTCTGCACACATGCATCTCCCTGGTGAGACAGTGTCGGGTGCACCAACACACTGCAGAAAGCGTCTCCTCCTCACCACAGCAGGAGCATTTCCCAGGGCATTAATTATGATTTGAAAACATGGTTTTCAATGGCTGTGCTGTGATCCAGACTCCCTCAGCTCCTGCCGGTGACTCGGCCGATTTCTGTTCTGCTTTGCTATTATAAACAGCACAGCAAGGAAAATGCTGCAGCTGAATCTTTCCACAACGCTCTCAGAAACATCCCTGTCGGAACCAGGAAGTCAAAGTGTGTGGACTTTCTTCAACCTCTAAGTGTATATTTTGCCAAACTGCCCTCTGGGAAATTTGCACCAATTCATTCCTCTTTCAGCAGCATGTAAAGCTATTCTATTTTTTTCTTTTTGAAACAGAGTCTTGCTCTGTTGCCCAGGCTGGAGTGCCGTGGTAAGATATTGGCTCACTGCAACCTCTGCCTCCTGGTTTAAGCGATTCTCCTGCCTCAGCCTCCCACGTAGCTGTGATTACAGGTGCCTGCTACCACGCCCAGCTAATTTTTTGTATTTTTAGTACAGACAGGGTTTCAGCATGTTGGCCAGGCTGGTCTCGAATCCCTGACCTCGTGATCCACCCGCCTCGGCCTCTGCTATTTTCTTTATATACTGGAATTTGCCAACACAGCTCAGTCCACCTACTTCCCCAGGGCATGCTTGGGAAGTCCCTCAGTCTGCTGCTGGGTGGCACCTCCCTTCAGGGTCCTCAGGGTGTGTCCTGACCTGTGTGCAGCCGCCTCCCCACCCTGCAGCTCCCAGCCTCCCGTGGAGCCTGGGTGGAGCCACCTGCGGCTGGGGCTGCCCACCTGCTGCTGCCAGCTACATGCCACCTCCTCCAGGCTCTGTGTTAACAGTTGAATGGTCACACGATGCTCCTCGTTTTGGGTCTGGTGGGTAGAAGCCTCCTGCCCCAGGCGAAGAACCCTGTCATTAAGCTGGGATAACTGATCCTTGTACTTCTGATTCTAGAGAAAAAATTTTTTTAACTTTTACTATATATATATATATATTTTCCCATCATTGGCTATCTTTTGGTTAAGTAGTTTTTTGTTTTGTTTTTTAAGACAGGCTCTCGCTCTGTTGCCCAGGCTGCAGTGCAGTGGCACATTCGTGGTTCACGGCAGCCTTGACCTGCTGGGCTCCAGTGATCCTCCTGCCTCAGCCTCCCAAGTAGCTGGGACCAAAGGCATGGGCCACCATGCCCACATAGTTTTTTTGTTGTTGTTGTTTTGGTTTTTTAGTAGAGACAGGGTCTCTCTGTGTTGCCCAGGCTGGTCTTGAACTCCTAGCCTCAAGGGAACATCCCACCTCAGCCTTCCAAAGAGCCAGGATTACAGGGGTGAGCCACTGAGCCCATCCCCGCCTTGCCCCGTAAAATACTTTTAAGCCAGCAGCTGAATTCATATCATTGTAATTGCTCTCAACCAGGTACAGCTTTGCTCCTGAGGAAATGTCTGGCCATGTCTCCAGGTGTTTTTGGTGATCACAGCTGGAGACACGGGAAGCTGCTGGCACCAACTGCACGGGGGCACTTGACACACTACAATGCAGGTGATCTGGACCCAAACATCATCACTGTCGAGGACAGGAAGTCCCGCTCCAGCCCCTGGGAGAAACACACACATCTAGGCCACCAGAGGGGAGAATATGCCATTAGCGTCCAAACCACTGTTCAGAAGACCCTTCATGTTTTTCTCATTTCCTCCACGATTATTTTAATATATTTAAAAATAGATAGCAATTTTAATGAAAAAAGCAGCCTATTTAAGCTTGAGGTATATTAATCTCTTCCAAGTCTCCTCTGATCTCCGTCATTGAACACACAAGTGTAGCTCTCGGCAGGGCACGTGGGTTTATCAAATTGCATATTGTGCTTTCTCAATAGCACCCCCCACAGATAGTGGATTTCAGCAAATGTTCACTGGGTGAACCCATGAGGGCACCGTGCAGGGCAACAGTGGTGGGAACGTAACCACGTGGTCTGCAGCATGGAGGCTCTGCTGTCCACAGTCACTGGTCAGGACATCTTCATGCAACCACATTTCTGCTTACTTGCCTTTACCCGCTGCTGCTCTCGGGGGTTTGGAGCGACGTCCTCTGACCCACTCTCAGCACAATCAGCCACACACATGCCACCTTCCCAGAGTGATGCCAACAACCACTGCCTTTGCTTTTATATTTTTTTCAGGCACGTAAGGAAACTGGGATGTTGCTTCCATTTGGATTTACTCAAGATTAGTAAGTCCATTTTTCTCATGATGATTCCTTGCAAATTAACCTTACCTCAACCCTTCCCTAGAACCTCGGGCCTGAGATTAAGAGAAGCTTCCCCCGTGACATACGCATGTGGCAGTTATGTCTGATATAGAGCTCACTTGTTTTATTACTTTATTGTGAAAATCAGAATTGTTTTAATATTGACACATATTCACCTTGTCCTCAGCCTTGATTTCATGAGTAGAAATGGAATCTTCCTTCGGTTTTTGAGATAAACACAATAGATTTTCTTTTATTCATCTGTTAACATTTAAACTCTTCATTTGGTGGCCGGGTGCTGTGGCTCATGCCTGTAATCCCGGAACTTTGGGAGGCCGAGGTGGAAGGATCACCTGAGGTCAGGAGTTTGAAACCAGCCTGGCCAGTGCGGCCAAACCCCGTCTCTACTAAAAATACAAAAATCAGCTGGGCGTGATGTCGCATGCCTGTAATCCCAGCTACTCAGAAGCTAAGACAGGAGAATTGCTTGAACTCGGGAGGCAGAGGATGCAGTGAGCTGAGATCATGCCACTGCACTCCAGCTGGGGTGACAGAGCAAGACTCTGTCTCAAAACAAACACACACACAGACACACACACACACACACACACACACACACACACACACACACACACACACACACACACACACACACACACACACACACACACACACACACACACACACACACACACACACACCTCTCTTCATTTGGAAATAATTTCAGACTTACAGAACAGTTGCAAGACTAGAACATGACCAAGGAAACCCACCTGCCTTCAATCCCAGTTCCTAGCCGACCGCACCATCCCATTTGCTTTGCCCCCAACACACACAGGTGCGCACACGATGTCTTCCTTCCTCCACAGCCACCTGCCTCCCGGGGACAGCAGCTCTCACATGACTGCCGTGCAGCTACTGCTTCGGGACAGTGGCCTTGATGTTCCCACACTGCGCTTTGTCAACAAGCCTGGCAGAATACTTCCTGGCACAGAATCAGCTGGGCCGGGCCCTGTCCTGCTGTTTTAGCCTCCTCAAATGTGGAATGTCTCCTCAGCCTCTGTCTTGACTTTGACATTTTTTGACAAATACAGTTCCACCCTCTCCCATTTGGGGTTTGTCTGGTGCTTCCTTGTGACTCAGGTGATGCGTTCCTGGGCAAATACTGCACGGGGAGCTGCATCGGGAGGCAGATATGTCACCTGCCCCTGGTGACGTTCACATTGGCCACCTCTTTAATTTCAAACTTGCATTCATCTGGCTTTCACTCAGAAGCCAACATGAGATGTCAGCAGTTGTATCCTGGGCACATGTTAAAGCAAACAGGTGTTCCAGATCAAAGCACCCAAGGGACCCTGCAGGGGACATGTTGTCCAAAGAAGACTCCAGCAGCCTCTTCTCTTCCATCCCACATCCTCTTCTGCAACGTGACGTGGACACCTGCCCATCAGAGAAGCCTCCCCATGGCTCCAGGGACTCAATGGGAATAACGTGGGGTGACTTCCGAGGGGGGCTTGGGAGCCACACACCCCCCACCAGCTGCCCTGGAACACTCGTTCCCTGAACCCCCTCACGACACTCCCTCCAGGCCCAGCCCCATGAGGAGAGGCCCAAGACAGACATGAGCAGAAGGGGTCCCCAGACCACTCCAGCCCTGGCCATTAGGTCACCCCGGCTGTCTAGCCTTCCCAGCTGAGGCCCCAGTGTTACAGAGCAGGGACGGCTCTCCAGGCTATGCCTGTCTGAATGCCTGGCCCACAGGTGCATGAGTGCAATCAAGCGGCTGCTTTATGCCAGTAAGTTGATCTGAGAGCTAAACACAACTGAACAGAGTGATAGTCACACACAGCGTAGCACCCCAGCTGCGTCCTACTGCCAGAAAGCTTACTGTGCAGGACGCTTTTTAATAGCTGGAGAAACGAGAATGTGGTATGAATACTGGATATGACGTACCTACTGCTAAGTTGCTTTTTTTTTGTAGACTAGTCTTGCTCTGTTGCCAGGCTGGAGTGCAGTGACACGATCTCGGCTCACTGCAACCTCTGCCTCCCGGGTTCAAGCAATTCTCTGCCTCAGCCTCCCAAGTAGCTAGGACTACAGGCACCCACCACCACACCCAGCTAATTTTTGTATTTTTAGTAGAGATGAGGTTTCAGCATGTTGGTCAGGCTGGTCTCAAACTCTTGACCTCGTGATCTACCTGCCTTGGCCTCCCAAAGTGCTGGGATTACAGGTGTGAGCCACCACGCCGGCCCGACTGCTAAGTTTCTTAAGTGTGACAGCATTCCTTTTTTGTGGTGAGACAGGGGATAGGCATTTCGTTTTAAGAGATGCCTGTTAAAATATTTAGGAGTGGAATATCATGACATCTAATATTTATTTTATTATTATGATTATTAGAGACAAAGTTCTCACTCTGTCACTCAGGCTGGAGTTGGTGTGATCGTCGCTCACTGTAGCCTCAACCTCCCAAGCTCAAGCCATCTTCCCAACTCAGCCTCCCGAGTAGCTGGCACTACAGGCACTCAGCCAATGTTTCTTTTTTTTGTAGAGATGGGGTTTCATCATGTAGCCCAGGCTGGTCTTCGACTCCTGGGCTCAAGTGATCCGCCCACCCTGGCCTCCCAAAATGCAGACATTACAGGCATGAGGCACCGCACCCCGTCTGTAACTTACCTTCAAATGGTTCAGCATACACACACACACACACACACACACACACACACACACACACACACACACGTACATGTGAAATATACAGATATGAACAGAACCAAAGCACACAGGCAATGTCAATAACAGTGGCATTAATGTTGTGGTATGTGGATAATAACTCTATATTGTTTCAACTTTCCTTTGTTTAAAGTTTTTCATAATAAAATTTTTGGGGTAAGCAGGGCATAGTGGCTCACACCTATACTCCCAGCACTTTGGGAGGCTGAGGCAGGGAGACAACTTGAGGTCAAGACCAGATTGGCCAAAAAGGTGAAACCTCGTCTCTAACTAATAATACAAAAATTAGCCAGTGTGGTGGTACATGCCTGTAATCCCAGCTACAAAGGAGGCTGAGGCAGAAGAACTGCTTGAACTCGGGAGGTGGAGGTTTCAGTGAGCCGTGATCGCACCACTGCACTCCAGCCTGGGTGATAGAATAAAAATGTGTTTCGAAAAAAAAAAGCCCCAAATTTGGGGGATGGCCAGGCACAGTGTTTGATGCCTATAATCCCAGCACTTTGGGAAGCTGAAGCTGGAGGATTGCTTGAGGCCAGGAGTACGAGAGCAACCTTGGCAACATAGTGAGACCCTCTCTGTACTAAAAATACAAAAGATGAGCTGAGCATGCCTCAGTGCACCTGTGGTCTCAACTACTTGTGGGGCTGAGGTGGGAGGATTGCTTGAGCCTGAGAGATGGAGGCTGCAGTGAGCCCTGATCCCACCA